CTCAGTAGCAGACGTACCCACGCACACAGCTGTGGCCCTGCCCCCATCGCCTCCATGGCCGCTAGGAGAAAGCCGCGATCCACTGTATCGTATGCTTTGGCAAAGCCCAGGAATGCCAAAAGCCCTTGGCGGTTCTGCTTGCGGAGGAGGTGTGACAGGTGGCGCAGGAAGAGTACGCTGGCCCCAATCAGGCGCTTGGGGAGGAAGGCGGATTGCTCGGGGGTGATGACCCGTCCCAGGGCGGGGCCCAGGCGGTTCGCCAGTACCTTAGCAAGGAGCCGGTAGTTCGAGCATAACAACGTGATGGGGCGGTAGTTGCCGGGGAGCTTGGGGTCGCCTTTTTTATAGAGCACTGTGATGATCCCTTCAAGGAAGCCTGCGGGCACCTGCCCGGTCGTGCCAATGGCAGTGAACAGGCCTGCCATGGTATTACCTATGGCTGACCAGAATTTCCTGTAGATGTCGGCTGGAATCCCATCCCACCCTGGGGCCTTGCCAGGTGCGCTCTTCTTGAGTGCCTTCCGCAGTTCGGTGGCTGTGATCTTTTTGGCTCCAAGCTGTTCATCTGCCTCTGCTGGGAACTTAATGTTGGCTGCGGTGAGGGAGTTCAGAACGGCTTGGCGGGCCTGGGGGCAGATGAAGTCCGGGCCTTGCTCACATCCTTCCAGAAGTCGGCTACCACTGGGGCAGCTGACCGGGGTTGGTACAAGTCGGCCGGACAAGCTTGCAGGCGACAGGGGCTGGTTGTTGGTCTATAGCCTGGGCCTGAAGGAAGCCGTTAAGGATGGGCTCGGCCTCTCCCCTGCCCGCAGCCAGTGGGTGCGGGCCTCCATGGCATCCTTCCGGCAGTCTTCCCGATGTGCTCGTGCGAGCATTGCCTGGGCTTCGACCAGTTGTTGGAGTGGCTGTTGTGCTGTGGGGGCTGCATCCACCGCTTGCCTTGCCAACTGGACCTGCGGTAACACTTCCCGAGCCCGGGCCCCTGGTCTGAGCTTGCGGTGTTGTGCCGCCTTGTTGAGCTGAAGGGCCAGGGTGCTCAGCCGGCGTTTAAAACCTGGCCACCACGCAATCAGGCCCAAAGGGTTGTCCTCCGCAGATGGTGCTGTGGCACACTGGCTGGTGATCCATGCTTCCATGCTTGCGGCTAAGTCCTGGTGTGATGTGAAGGCCAGCCGCACTCGTCGGTTCCCTGGGCCCTTGCTCTCTGGTCGGCACGGCAGCAGGTGCATGACCATTGGCTTGTGATCCGACGGTGTTTGCACGGCAATCTCCGTCTTAGCAATGTACGGCATGGTACCATGGTCTACATAGATGCGGTCTAGGCGGGAGGCCCCGACGCAGGGAGCTCTGTAGAAGTGGGTGTAGTCGCAACTGTGGGGGTGCAGCTGGCGGTGGCTGTCCACCATGGTGGGGCCTGCTGCCCGAAGAAGGTCCACTGTTGGGCCGTCTCCCCGTCGCCCTCTTGGACCCGCTGTGGAGTCCAGCCCTGGGTCTTCCACAAAGTTGAAGTCACCTGCCCAGACCAGCATGGTGTCACTGTTCTCGGCTGCATGCTTGGTTGTGGCTGGCAGCGTGGTTGTGAACAGCTGTTGTCGGAGGGGGTTCACGTGTGCTGATGTACCCGTGGGGCCATAAATGTTGCAGATGTGGATGCGGTGTCCTCCCCAGCGCAGTATACAGCTGGCAAATCTCCCTCGGACCACGGGGATGGGCGGCGGGTTTTCCACGATAGCAGTCAGATCCCGACGGACTAGGATGAGAACTCCTGCTGTGTGGGAAGAGTTGGACCACGAGTGTGCAGCCACTTTCCATCCCCTGGTGTGCATCGCCTGTGATGCCATGTTTAGCTCTTTCTCCAATCGACTCTGGTCATGGGCATTAGTATGGTGGGTCTCCTGAAGGCACACCACATCAAGTCCCATCTCTGTCCACAGCTTGGCCGCCGCATGTATTTTTGCGGTATGTTTTGCCGTCATGCCTTGCACGTTGTGCGTAGCAATCCGAAGGGGGTGGCCCCTAGTGGCGCCCCGCTGGCGGTTTCCATTGGTTGCTGGCGGCATGTTAGGTTTGTTGGGTATGGCTGACCGAAGAACCCTCTCCGGGTGGGGATTCTGTCTCAACGTCGGGCTGAGTCACCGTGGGGACTTGGAGAATCAGGCTGGAAATTTGGGAGCCTGCCTGGGGCGAACCTGGGTCGCTGGCTTCCTTCTCTGTTGCCTCCGGTCCCTGCCTTGCACCTGCCTCCTCCTCCATCGCGATGTCCTCTACCGTTTTTCCTGTTGTAGCGCCCCCGGTCTTTGCCATTCGATTTTTCCGATTGGCCTGCCATATGTCTCCGCGTTTCTGCTTTCCGGCCTCTCGGTGTCTGGCTTCCCGGGCCTCTTTGGCCTGCCGGGCTAGCTCTGCGCTCTGTCTGCGGGCTGTCCTTGCCGGCTCGGTCAGCTTTTTGAAGTGATCCTTCCGCGCTTGGTCGCGTAGGTCTGGCCTGCGCTGTTTCTTCACTATTGCCATGTGGGTTAGTTGCGCTTTGGCTGCCGTCGCTGTACTCCGGGTCATGGGCCGTGTCATTTGCAGCTGGATCGGCTCCACCTGGGCAAAGAGGGCAGCCGCCTGTGTTTTCGGGGAGCCCATTGTGGTGTTCTTCCCGGCTGCCTGAGTTGGCGGGGGAGATGGCCATTCCCTGTTTGTCTGTGCATGGTTGGCAGGGCCGGCTTGTTCCGCTACCGGTTTCCAAGGCTGTTCCCGGATAGGCGTGAGTTGGATGGCAGCTGCCTTGTGGGGTGTCCC